TAGGTTGAGTCGCCACCACATGTTGCGAGGACGTTTCACTCGAATCGAGGCCGAAACCAATCCAAACCATGGCAAACCCAGGCAAACTTGGATGACGTCTCAAGCGGAACCGGGTCCCAACCAGGCCAAACCAGGGGCCAAACCAGGCGCATTTCGAGGATGGCTCTAGCGAAACCAGGCCCACACCAGGCCAAACCAGGGGCCAAACCAGTAGGTTCTGAGGATGTCTTAGGCGGGGCGCGCGGCGAAACCGAGCCAGACCAGGCCAAAACAGGGGCCAAGCCAAGCAGATAAACATAATCACAAAAAAAGGAATCACCCACACTAGGCTCCGTCCATCATCCCCTTTAATCAACTTCGGATGAAAGGGGTGGATCACTCCAACAGGGGGCCCCGCAGGCGGGAACCCGTTCCGAATTTTATAAGGGGGGGCGTTTGGACCGCGCGTCCGCTGATGCGGACGGGGTTGGGCGCAGAAGCCTTCGTTTGTCTCTCGGGTGGTGTTGGCTTGGCGTTATATCTCCGAGCCAGTATCCATAGTCCGATTTTCTTAGAGTCTGAGAGCTCGACTACGCACTAGTAGGATTCAATTGGAGCTGGACCCGGCTGCAGTAAGATTATACCAGGGCTAGATCGATGCCAGCCAGGAGTACCATAGCATTATGTCGTGGCGGCAAAAACAAGATGACCCGAGGTCCTTAAGAGGCCTCCCCAAAGCCCCCAAGAGGCGCTGAAGAGGCTCCAAGAGGCCTCCAAGGAGCCCCGACAGTTTCGAAGCGGCCTCAAGAGTTCCCAAAAGGCATCCCGTAACCATTTTGGTTCAAGCCATTTTTTGGTTCAAGGCAGATCCCACTGAAGCGGCCCGAGTCCAAGGCAGCTACAGCGTTCGGCCGAAGTATGCTTGATGGACGTGTTTGGCTCTGCAGTTTCAATGTTCTCGCAGTCGTTGCCATTGCCTGGCGGGCGCGCGCTCCTTGTCGAGATGTCCAGTTACCACGAGTGAGATCGATGTTTTCTTCGTTCCATGCCACGATGAAGCGGGTACTCTGCATGACACCACCGCACCCGTTGCATCGTCATTTGAAGGGTATGGCAGACAAGCGACTTAATGAGCAACTTGTTTGGGGGTGCCCCTGGACTCTGTTTGCAGCCGTCTGTTACAATTCAATTCAGTTGTATCAAGACGATACGTCCCAGCTCACGCACTACATGAACTTAGGAATGGGAACCTTTGCTATGCTGGGCGCCGTCAGACCGGATTGGATGACCCCGAAAGTCTTTCTCTGTTTCCATTTCTGTGTCTATGTCACCTTCATCATTATTGCGATCAATACCACATCCAGAATTGAGTTCTTGAATGCGAGCCGCGTGAGAATATGTTTCCGTTCCATGTTCTGTTTAATACACGCAAAGCCCATGTTGTCCTTGTGTTTTGGCAGTGTGTACGTCGCAGTTGTCTCAGCTTTTGCTCCGTGGCATGACCCTGTAGACGTACGTCAGGAATTGCTTGTCACATTCTTTGTTAGCATCTCAGCAGCCGTCGTCGCATGGTCCCGCGATTCAGAGTTTTTGGCAATTCTGGAGGCCAAGGCGTCACGACAGTTCGAGTCTACAGCGGACGGGCTGCTGTCAAGTGTGTGCGATGCAGTGGTACATCTCTCGAAGGAGTTTCAGCTCTCAAAGCCTTGCGCATCCCTTGCCGCCCTGCTCCTAAGATCATCCAGCGATGTGGCGGCGGGAGTCCACTTTTCCAATCTAGCGTTTGATGCCACTGAGAGAGAGCGTCTGCTTCGTTTCTTGGAGCGGCCCATATCCGATACCTACAGCCTCCACATGTCCTTTAGGGATTCATGGGGCATGCCGGTAAAAGTTGAGCTCTTTCACGCCCGGGGCGTTGACATACACGACGAGTTGATCCACATCGTAGGTGTGAAGGAAGATTCGGAAGAGCCGCGGGCGGCGCGTCCAGGGGTGTTATGCTGCAGCCCAGAGTCACAGAATTCAAGCACTTTCGCAGGCATCCCAGAGAGTTGTATCAGTATCTCGACGTCTGATTCCTCTGGTCTGCTGATCGACCCCTCGTGCACTGAGATGGCTGTTCTCATTGACGCAGAGAGTTCTGGTATGCCCGTGCTGCGGTGCTCACCCGATTTCTTGAGTTTGTGTGGACCCATATGCGAGGGCCCAAAGCTGCTGCAGTGGGTCATTAATCGTGCCGACTTTATGGGTTGGGCGGACACGGCCTACAACGATCTGCTTGATGCTCGTGATGTAGACCTTGTGCAGGGTGATGTTCTGGCTGCACAGCCATTCCGAATCCGCCTCAAGCTGCCTCACATGGGCCCGAGAGTCCTCGAAGTATCGGCGAACGCAAAGTTCAAATTTCCATCATTCGAAGACCCACCAGAGGGTGACGATGGCGGAGTGGCCATTGCTCAAGGGATCTTGTTGATGCTGGAGGACGTCGTCTTCCTCCGCAGGGGACGTCGGGCACCGAGGCTGTCATTGTGATTTGTTGCATGTGTGACGTGAGGGGCAGGGGCCCGCCAGCCGTTCCTACAATAACTGCTTCAATCCCTCAATGTTTCCCAACCATCCTGTGGTGTTGGTCCTCGTTTTGAAGAGACAGCGCCCCGCGTCCCACCTCCTTCCTCCTTCCTCCTCCTCTCCTCCTCACCTCCCTCTCCTTCTTCCCTCCTCCTCCCCTCCCCTCAAGCACGCCTGCCAATACAGCATCCAAATGTTCCGCCGCCAGCGTCGCTCGCCATGGCAGGCCAGTTTTAAAGTTCCGTCGTCCTCACCTGTGGGGCGCGACGTTTTGTGGCGTCCGATCGGACCTTTGCTTGCTTGCTTGCCATCAGCCGAGAGGCTAACTCCAAGGCGGGGGCCCCCAGTGACGGCTGCTCTTGCAATCCCGAGAGCACGACATCGCCATCAGTGAGACGGCAAAGCAATTCAACAGCCATGTCGTCCAACTACTTCGTGTCTTGTGAGGCACCAGACTGCAAGCCCGTGGCAAGGCCTTCGTAAGCAGCCCCTAGAACAGAGGTTATGTTATATATATGTATATATATACATATATATAAATATATTCATATATATATATATATAACAAAAAATACTGGTTCGCTGGCGCTGTCAGAATCCCCCTCCTTGCTGGACGACGTCTGCCAGTTTCGGTTTGCTCATACCCGTCAGACTCCCTGGACTGACTTTCTCGCACGGAGTTTGGTTCCCACCACCACGCGGTTGTCCCGGCACGACCACGACTGGGAACGTTCTGCGCGCCATTTTGGCCGCGCTTGGCTTGCCCCTGGGTGACTGACCCCTCAGACTCCCTGGGTTGCAGCTTGCACGACCGCCTCGGGTGACTGACCCCTCAGACTCCCTGGGTTGCGGTTTGCACGACCGCCTGGCCTTTCAGACGCCCTGGGTTGCTGCCCCCCCTGCCGCCTGATCCGCGGCCCCCGCGCGCGCCCGGGAATTTAGTCGCGGCCGCAGCCCGACCGTGACTGCTCGCCGCCGGCGCTTCCGCCTGCGGCTGTAAAAAAAAATGACCCCACCAGTCTGCGGTTTTTGGCTGCGCCCCCCCCGATCAACAGCGAAGATTGCATCGGACGCAGAAGAGCGTCCGCCCTGAGACCTGCCCAGGGAGTATCGGTCCCTCGTCGCCGACCCAGCCATGGTTTTACTACGAGGACGCCTTGGCACGTCAGCGCGCCGCCAGCGAACGGTACAGCCCAGCAGCTCGGCAGCTGCCAGCCACCTGTACGCCCTGGCTTCGGACGCATCCGGCTTCTGCATGGGCAGCGTGGAGGTGTTGAGTGGGTGTGGCTGTCCACCATACACATGGTGATTGGCTTCGTCAAGAGAGCGGCCCCGCATCGAGTGGTTCAGCCTTCCGCGGTCCACGTTCGTTTCGCTCTTCTCGGCGCACCCACAGCCCCAGCTCTCGCCTGGACATTGCATCGTTGCGCCCTCAAAGTGCGTGAGTCGGATACGATGTAAGTGGACCGGCTATTTGCTGGTGGTTGCCAGCCTCGTGCACGCACACCAGTGGTTTGACCCGGGCACAATACACGAAATCGGTTGACTCATATAAATCGAGAATGACCCTGCCAAGGCTCTGCATCGGCACCCTATTTGCAACACGTCCGTCCCCTATTTGCAACACATCCGCCCCCTGTTTGCAACACATCCGCCCCCTGTTTGCAACACATCCGTCCCCGATTTGCAACACATCCGTCCCCGATTCGCATTACTTTTACTGTTTTACTGCTACTACTACTACTACTACTACTACTACTACTACTACTACTACTACTACTACTACTACTACTACTACTACTACTACTACTAACTACTACTACTACTACTACTACTACTACTACTACTACTACTACTACTACTACTACTACTACTACTACTACTACTACTACTACTACTACTACTACTACTACTACTACTACTACTACTACTACTACTACTACTACTACTACTACTACTACTACTACTACTACTACTACTACTACTACTACTACTACTACTACTACTACTACTACTACTACCTACTACTACTACTACTACTACTACTACTACTACTACTACTACTACTACTACTACTACTACTACTACTACTATTACTACTACTACTACTACTACGACTCCGACTCCGACTACGGCTACGACTACGACTACGACTACAAGTAATACTACTACTATTACAACTACTACGATTATGTTTACTACTACCACTACTACCAATACCACCACCACCACCACCACCACCACCACCACTACTACTACTACTACTACTACTACTACTACTACTACTACTACTACTACTACTACTACTACTACTACTACTACTACTACTACTACTACTACTACTACTACTACTACTACTACTACTACTAGTACTACTACTACTACTACTGCTACTACTACTACCTACTACGACTACTACTACTACTACTACTAATACTATTACGACTACGACT